GGGGGGGGGGGGGGGAGGGAGTGCATAGTGAAGGCATGAGTGCTCAGGTGGGTAGAGGGGTATCTTTGCACATGTAAGGGGTGTGTATGAAGGGGGGGGGGGACACACAAGCGTGCTGCAGCCCCATTGCTGTGCCATCCCCCCCCCCCAGCCCTGGAATACACCCTGGAGGCAGACAAGGAGCGACACCCCCCCAGGGTGAGGTTTTTGGGGACGCACTCGGCCACGTTCCGCGGCGCCTTCCGCATGCCTGACACACGCTGCGAGAGCAAGGAGCTGCTGCTGCTGGTGAGAGCACGAGGGTGTGTGCACCGCTGTGCACCAGGGGGTGTTGTGCTGTGCATCGATGCGCTGGGAGGGGGGGGTTTGGCTGCAGTTTGTCCCTCCCTGCTGCAGGATAACATCCGTGACAAGCTGCACCCCATCGTGCTCTCCATGAACTACTCACTGGTGGAGCAGCCCCGCAGCTTCCAGCTCGGCCCCCACTCCCTCAACGCATTCCCCGTCCTCAACCAGGACCAGTCCCACCAGAACGAGACCAAGGTGCTATAGGGGGTTGCAAGGAGGAGAGCTGGGGGGTGGTGGGGATGTGACCGAGGTTGTCCCCATGCCAGGTGGAGTTCCAGAAGGAGTGCGGCTCCGACAACAAGTGCTACAGCAACCTGCAGCTGCAGAGTGCCTTCGTCACCGAGCAGAACCAGCCCCTGCCCAGGTGCTGTGTGCTCTGCTCCTCACCCTGCCCCCCATCCCCTATCTGTGCCCCCCATCCCCTATCTGTGCCACTCTGTGCCCACGCTGCTCCACAAGTTGGGCTCAGTCATCCCTAAGGGTCCTTTCCAACCCGGGGCATTGATGATTCCATGCCATTAGGGCTATGGTGTGCCATCCCACAGCCATATCCACGCTGTGCCATTCTGTGCCCTGTGCTTTGCCATCCCGTGCCCATGCTGCACTGTCCCATACACGTGGCCATGCTGTGCCCTATACATGTGCCCATGCTGTGCCATCCCATATCTGTGCTGTGCCACCCTGTGCTTGTGCTGGGCCAGGAGCTGATCCTTAGGAGTCTTTTCCAGCTTGGGGGATTCTAAGATTACAGACTCACAGAATGGCCAGGGTTGGAAGGGACCTCAAGGATCACGAAGCTCCAACCCCCTGCCATACGCAGGGCCACCAACCTCCACATTTCATAGCAGCCCAGGCTGCCCAGGGCCCCATCCAACCTGGCCTTGAACACCTCCAGGGATGGAGGGGCATCCACAGCCTCTCTGGGCACTTGTTCACATGATTCAGATCATACAATACCAAATTTATGCTATGCCATCCCATGCCCATGACTGTGCTGCCCTGTCCTGTCTCCATCCCATGCCACATTCTCGCCCTATTCCCTGCCCTTCCCATCCCCATTCCCTGCTGCATCCCATCCCCTGCCCTGTCCCACCCCAATCCTCATCCCTCCCCAATCCCTTGTCCTATCCTGCTCATATCCCATCCCCTTTCCCTGCCCCATCCCTGCCCCATGCCCACCCTGTAACACCTCATGACTGCAGCATTCTGATCCTGACCCACCCTGGGTTCTCTGTCCCCTAAAGATGTCCCTGTAGCATTGGGTGCCCCATGGGTGGGTGTCCCCATAAGCCCCCACCCCCCTTGCTGAGCATCCCTTCCCCCCCCCCAGGCTGAATGGCACTCAGGTGCTGCACTACAGCCGGGACACACGCAAGCTGCACCTGAGCATCAACATCACCAACACCCCAACCTCTGCCTCCAACGGGGAGGATGCCCACGAGGCTCTGCTCAACATCACGGTGCCCAGCAGCCTCCTGCCCTCCTCTGTCCGCCCTGTGAGTGCCATCTGCCCGCCCAGTTTGGGGAGGGATCCAGGAGGGGGGGCACTCTGAGCCCCCTTTTTCATGCCCCCCCCCTCCCACCGTCTGCAGAGCGGTGCGTGCACCTTTGCGGAGACGGTGCTGTGCGAGTTGGGCAACCCCTTCAAACGGAACCAGAGGGTGAGTGCTGCCCTGGAGCAGGGAGAGGCTGTAGGGGGGGGGTCCCTACCACCCCACACCCATGGAGGGGGGGGTTATTGCAGGCAGAGCTGATCATCACCTTCGAGGCCATCGGCATCACACTGGACACGCGGGAGGTGGCGGTGTGGCTGGATCTGTCCACGTGAGTGGCTCCGTTTTGGGGTGTGGGGGGGAGAGGATGGGGCAAATGGTTCTGGGGGGGATGCTGGGGTCTCCCGTGCTTGGTGGGGGAGTGCTGGCATTGCATCCATCAGCACTGATGCTCTGGGAGAGGCTAAATGTGGTGGGGTTGTGGGCAGGGTGGGGACATGGGGATGTTAAAGGGTGGCTCTGAGGGGAGCGAAGAGATGGGGAAAAAACAGCACTGGGGGGGACCTTGGGGTCTCCTGTGCTTGGTGGGAACATGTTGGTGTCACATCCATCAGTGCTGCAGCTCTGGGAGGGGCTGGAGGGAGGAGTGGGGGCAGGATGGAGCACCCTGGAGTGGCACCCTGGAGTGGGGGGCATTGCTGGGCGCCCTGGGGGTGCCAGAAGGGATGGAGGGGAGGGGAGGGACGTTGGCTTCTCCTGTGCTTGAATGGAAATGCATCTGTGCATCCAGCACGCATAGATCTGCTTTGGTGCCCTGTAAAGGGTGGGGGGCACAATGCACGCCGAGCAGGGGGGCACAGGGATGGCAGCAGGCACTGACCTGGTGCACTGTGTGCAGGCAGAGCACGCAGGACGACCTGCAGCCCGTGCTGGCCCAGCTGCTGGTGGATTACAGCCTGCAGTCCTCGCTGAGCGTGTGAGCGCAGCCCCCGGCCCCCGCACAGCCCCATCTCACAGCACTGCCTCACGCTCCTCCCCTTCACACCCCCACCCCCCCAAATTGTCCCCAGAGCCCCTGCACACCTGCAGTCCCACTTCAGCGGGATGGTGATGGGCGAATCGGCCATGCGCAGTGAGCAGGATGTGGGCAGCCCGCTGGCCTTCGACTTCCAGGTGAGGCTGGGGACATTGAGGGGGGAGCAGTGAGGGGCTGGGAGGGCTCCATCCCCCCAGTGCCACCCCCACGCTGTTCCCCCACAGGTGATGACTAAGGGTGAGGCGTTGGGCACGCTGGGCACCATCGTGCTGGGCTTCGAGTGGCCCTATGAGATCCCCAATGGCAAATGGCTGCTGTACCCCACCGAGATCCGAATCAACAGCAACGGCACCTGCAGCCCCCCCGGGGGGGTCGTCAACCCCCTCAACCTCACGGTGAGTGGCTACCAGGTGGGGGTACCCATGTTTTGTGTTGGGTTCGGGCTTGTTTTGCTCACCCTGTGCCATGGGGCCGTGCCCACAATGATGGCTTTTGGGGTTTTGCCCCCCTCCCTCACCATCACCCAGCTGCTGGAGGATGGGACCCCCACCCGGCACCGACGGGAGCTGGGGGGGGCTGAGCCTGGAGAGCCCCCCATTACCTTGGCCACAGGCAAGAAGGCAAAGTCAGAAGTGCTGCTGGTAAGTGAGGGGGGCTGCAGGGGGAGGGTTGAGGGCTGTAGGGGGGTGCTGGGGGCTACAGGGGAGGGCTGCAGGCTGCAGAAAGTGGCTGTGGGGGCTGCAGAGGGGCTGAGGGCTGCAGGCATATGCAGCAAGCTCAGGGTGCAGCTAGGTGCACACACTGCTGGCTGCAGCCACTGGGAGGCAGCTGTCTGCTGCCAGAGTGCTGTGAGCAGCTTGGACGTCGTGCAGGAGGCAGCCTGCAGAGCAGGCAGCTGTTTGCATGCACTGACCGTGCAGCAGTGTGTGCATGCAGCAAGTTGGGGCTGGCACGTGCAGCTCTGTGTGCATGCAGTGACCCCAAACTGCACATCTGTGTGCAGTGACCCCAAACTGCCTGTGTGCAATGACCTGAAGCGTGCAGTGACCCCGAACTGCACATCTGTGTGTGCAATGACTTCAAACTGCCCGTCTGCACGCGGTGACCCCAAAACTGTGCAGTGACCCCAACCCACACGCAGCGCACCCCCCGCTGCATTCACATGCTCTTCCCTCACCTCCCACCCCCCCCATCCCAACGTGGGGCAATGTGGGGTGGTGTCCCCCCCCTTCCCCCTCCCCCCACCCACCTTGTGGTCCCCGCCTGCCCCCCCCCCCCCCCCCCCTAGAGCTGCTCCCAAGGCACAGCACGCTGCATTTGGTTCGAGTGCCCGGTCCCTGCAGCGCAGCACCCCGCAACCTTCCGCGTCCGCGCTCGAGTGTGGAACAGCACCTTCATCGAGGTCAGTGCTGCAAGGGAGGGGGGGGGTTGAAGGGGATTATTTGGAAGGGATGGGGGGAGTTCAGCCCCATCCCCACGGTGCTGTTATCCCCAGGAATACCGCAGCTTTGACCGGGTGAAGGTGGACGGCACCGCCACGCTGTTCCTCCGCACCCACGTCCCCACCATCAACATGAGGAACCACACGGTGCGGGTAAGCAATGGGGTAGGGGGGGTCTGATGTGGGGTGAGGGGCAGCTCCCCATGTGCCCCCCCCCCATCCCAATTGCCGTCACCAGTTCTCAGTGGATGTGGACTCGGAGCTGACGGAGGAGCAGCCGCCGCAGGTGGCGCTGTGGTTGGTGTTGGTGGCGGCGGCGGCGGGGCTGCTGCTGCTGGGGCTGATCATTGTGCTGCTGTGGAAGGTGAGAAGGGGGAAGGCGACGGTGCGCCATCCCATAACCATATCCACCCCGTGCTGTGCCACCCCGTATCCGTGCTGCGCTGTGCCATACGTGTGCCCGTGCTGCGCCATCCCACGCCGATGCTGTGCCACCCTGTGTCCATGCTGTGCCATTCCCTGCCTATGCTGTGCCATCCCATGTCTAAACCTGTGCTGTGCCATCCCATGCCATCCTATACACGTGCCTGTGCTGTGCTGTGGCATCCTGTATCATCTGTGCTGTGCCATCCCATATCTGTGCTGTGCCACCATAGCCTATGCTGTGCCAGGAGCTGATCTTTATGAGTCTTTTCCAGCTTGGGGGATTCTAAGGTTACACAATGCCAAGCTTATGCTTTGCCATCCCATACCTATGCTGTCCCCATCCCATGGCACATCCCACCCCAATCCCTGTCCCTTCCCCATCCTGCCCCATTCCCTGCTGCATCCACATCCCATCCCCTGCCCTGTCCAGCCCCACTTCCCTGTCCCATCCCGCCCCGTTCCCCATCCTATCCCACCCCATTCCCCATCCCATCCTCTTTCCCTGCCCCATCCCACCCCATCCCTGCCCCATTCCACACCCACCCTCTGCTGTTCTACCCCCTGCCCTTCCTGCAGAAGGAAGGGGTGCAGAGCTGACAGCCACACCAAGGGATGCTCGGGGCTGGTGAGCGGTGGCAGCACCTCCAGCATCCCCCCAACGTCATCAGCCCGGTGTGGCACCTCCGGGGACAAGGGTGGGGTTGGGGGTCCTCGAAGGGCACGGGGTCCCCGAGGTGCCCTGAACCGCGTCCCCACCCCCCCCACCCCCCCGCAGTGCGGTTTCTTCCGACGGGCCAGCACGCGTGCAATGTACGAGGCCAAGGGGCAGAAGGCGGAGATGCGCATCCAGCCGTCGGAAACCGAGCGGCTGACGGACGACTACTAACGGGGGTGGGGGGGGGAAACGCAGCCCCACTGCACCCCCCGGCGCCCGCGCCGCCCGCCCGGTAATGCCCCGCACCCGCACGGGTGGCACCTGACGGCCTCTTCCTCTTCTTCCTCTTCTTCTTCTTCAGCCTCTCCACTCCTTGCCCTGAGGGCATGGGGGGGAGGGGGAAAGAGGGGGGGGGTGGTCCCGGCTCTGCTCTCTCTCTCCCCCCCCGGCTCTGCTATTCACCACTCCGGAGCCTCTTTCCGCCGCCCCATCCCTCCCCCACACACACACTCGCCACCGTTTGATTTATATTTATTTTTCTCCCGCCCCAACCCCGCAGTGTGACTTCTTCCAGCGGACTCGCTATTACCGGGTGATGCCCAAATACCACGCGGTGCGGATCCGACAGGAGCAGCGCTACCCGCCCGCCGGCCCCCGGCGCAAGAAACACTGGGTGACGAGCTGGCAGCAGCCAGACAAATACTACTGACCCCCGCGCCCCCCCCGCTCCAAGCCCCCCGCCCCGGGACGGGGCAGCGGTGGGGGTGCGGTGTGATTTTGCACAAGCACAGCATCGCTCCTTCCCTGCGGCTTGCGTGCTCCTTGCACACCTCTGTGCCTCTTCCACGCTTGGGGGCGGGGGGGAGCCTCGTGTTGACATCCCCCCCCCCCCCCCCTCCCTCGGCCCCCATGGGTTCCTCCTGAGTGCCTTCCTCGTGGTCCTGTGCTGACGCTCTCCCCCCTCCTGTGGTGGCTCCCCGCGGTGGGACGCGCTGTTGCACGTGGGGACGAGTCCTTGCACATGGGGACACGCTCACCGCCCCCCCCCCCCCGGTGCACCCCTCCCCCCCCCCCCCCCCCCACCCACCCTTTGCCTGGGGGGGGGGGGTTGGGTCCCCCCCCGGTTTTGTGCTAGGGGGGGGGGGGGGCTCGTGCCTTCCTCCCCTGCTTCCTCCTCCTCATCCTGCACCTTCAGCCCTTGCTGGGGGTGGGTGCAGAATGGGAGCTTGTCGTGCATCCCCTCCCCCCACAGCAGCTGCAGCCCCTATGGGGGGCTCTGGGGGCTGCCCCCCAAACCCACACAGCTCTGGGGGTTAAATTATTCCATGTCTCTCTGTGCGTTTTTGTGTCAAGCCCCAGAGTGGGATCGGTACTGGGGTTTGGGGGGGGGTGGGTGGGTGTCTGTGCCCCCCACCTCGGCCCATGCTCACCCCCTCTGCTGGGGGCTAATAAAGCCTCGCTCTGGGGTTTGTAACCTCTCATCTGCCCCTTGTCTGCTACGGGGTGGGGGTAAAAAGGGGGGGGGCGGGTAAAAAGAGGGGGTGAGGGGGAATGGATGCCCCAAAAGGGGAAAGGGTGTGCCAGAAGGGGTGTGGGGGGAAGAAATACCCTGAAAGGGGAAAATGCTGCAGGCGAGCCGTGACAACAGTGGAGCTGTCCCCATGCATGGGGCAGGACCCCTCCCCGCCCCCCCGTGGGTGTAGGATTGAGGGGAGTCATGCGGTGTGTGCGGGACCGGGCGGCTTAAACCGTGGGAAAAGGGCGGTGGGCACGAAGGGGTTAATAAGAATGGGCGTGGTCTGACCATCAAGGGGCGGGGCCAGCTAAGGGGCGTGTCCCACGTCAGCCACGGCTGCAGGGCGGCCGCTGATTGGCGGAAGGGAGGTGATTGGCGGAGCGGGGGGCGGGTTGTTTGCGTGCGGCGGGGGGGCGTGGCCTAAGGGCGCGGGGTCAGAGGGGGGGGCGCGGGCGCGGGGCCGGGGGGCGCGGGGCGGCCATGCGGCTGCTGCGATGCCTGCGGAAGCGGGCGGCCCTGGCCGGGGTGCCCACCTACATCGAGCACTTCAGCAAGTTCTCGCCTTCGCCGCTCTCCATGAAGCAGTTCTTGGACTTCGGTGAGTACCGCTCCTCCCCCCCCTCCCCCCCCCGCCCCCAACCCCGGTGACAGCCACCCGGA